AAGTTATAGCTGTACATGTGGCATACCAAAGGAGGCATTGCCAAAAACATCCTGAATGCCGCCTAAAATGAATAACCTATTCTGAAAATGGACAAATAAATGTGAAAGGCATACAGCCAAATTTTAAGGTTTGAACCCGGCACGTCGGCATGTGTTCCTTTACTGTTGGCCGTGAACGTTTTTGAAACAGGAGCGCGCAATTGAAAAAAATAATTACCTCGTTAGTAACGTTGCAAACTGCACCAGGTTATAACACAGGTCTTTGGCGGTTTCGCAAAAGTGATTTTCCTCACCCACCCCGTGTTTGAGTATGTCTTCCATTCGCAACAGCATCAGTTCATGTCTTTCCTCAGAAGTAACGGCTGGCGCATCGAGACTGAACTATAATTATGATCGGTTTCAAAGTATTACGTAAACCAATAATAAACTAGAATAAATTATTTTTTAAACCTAAGAATTGTATTTAATTTACTGTTTTCATCTTGTGAAATCCAATGTTCAAAGAAGAAACTGAGAATGGACGATGTCTCTGGTGTTTCAGTCTCGTGACTCATTCTGTTCTATACTTCTATTCACAGAAATAAAGATATCGACAGAAGGGCTAGATTAAATTATTTCCCTGAATTTCCTCTACTTCTGCCATTCAAATAATGCCCTTATGCTACTAACTGCTGCATTTTTAAATATGGTTAACAAAGCATTTTTGAGTCTTCTACTCATTTTGACAATGAACTGTCATCACCTTTCGTTCTGAACATATGTAGCACAGTACAAAGATTCGATGTGGATACGTTCCCGAGTTTTCTACCCGAAGCACGCGGCCGATGTCCTTCGCCTTCACAAATCTGCCTTAAAGGCATATGAAATCAACTAGTTCCTGCCACCACTCCCTTTTAGCGTTCGTATGCAAAAAAATTCCTTCCACCGCATTTAGCCAATGCATGTGGCGAATACGTAATAGACAATTAATCGATAGCTTTCCCTAATGAGACAGTGGGGCCAGATTTATGAACAGCGATTTCCTCCGCTTTGAACAATTTTTCATGCATCAAACATTTCTGAGAAGCCTATTCATGCCTGGCTTCAGTGAAACTGCCAAACTCTGCGAATTCATAGAGGTGGGTGGGTGCGGAACTTTTTGTCAAAGGTCGAAAACCGTGTCATCACCCGATCAACCGTGCTCAGTTTGTAGCACTCACCTCCGGGAACACACAGCCGTGCGCACTGATGCGGTTGGCAGTGATCTTGCTGGAGTCGGGTGGCCTCGGAATGCCGTTGACCGTTGAAAAGCCGTTGTGAGCGACCAGGAACTGCTGCGACAGCGTTTCGGTAGTTAGCTTTTCCTTAAATGGAGAAAAACTATTCAAAATAGAAGCTGGTCCGGCGCAGGCCACTGGTCGGTCGTTCATCAAGCTTACGTTGAAATCGTTGGGAATGCAGAACTTGCCAACGACCGGATCGCAGTTGTCAGAAATGCCGTCTGATGTGATGAACACAACGTCGCCCGGCTCGACGGTCGTCAACGAGCACGTCAGGTTCTGTAGCTCCGGGTTGATGCCGTTAACGGGACCCAGAGCACCACCGGCATCGCGCATATCGCGCATCTGCTGAAGATCATGTGACCCTAAAATAAACAGAATTCTCAGCACAACTACCATAGTAAGCCTCATGGCCGGTTCGCTTCCCACAGTTGTTTAATTAATATCATAGTTCAGAAAAAACGGCACCATGATTAAAAGCCTGAACGAAATAATTACGTGTAACAGAATAAATACCCTGTTCTACTCAGGCGTCGACATCACGACTCGCGCTCAGGCCGGTGTTGGCGTTCTGGTAGAACCCAAC